GTCAGTGGGAGAACAGCGCAAACAGAAGCAGTTCATCTCCCATTCTGTTTTTGGTTTTATAAATGCCCCCTTGTACATCCAGATTTTCCTGGAGTGTTCCAATTTTTTGTAATCTTATTTTTCAACAAGGTGAAATTCATTAAATTTACTAAAAATGCATCTGAATTCATTTATTTCCTGCAAATAGATTTATAAATCTTTAAAAAAAAGAGTTTTTCTCTCTCCCAATTTGGAGTTTAGAAAATAACTCTGGGTCTATAGTAGTTAGAATACGTGAGATTACCAATTTAAATCTGAGGGAAGGGAATAACAGTTTTAATATTTTACATGTAAAAAGCAAGAATCTCTGGACCCGGGAATGCCATTTAATTTGGTTTACTTTCATTGTAGGTAATACTTTCAGCTCTAATTAACTGCTTGCCTAGAGTTAATTTTCCTTTGAAAACTACCTGGGTAATAAATAGAAGAGAGGAATATTAATTTCCTTCTGATTCAAGGTTGGTCTACTTCTGGCCGTCACAAGAGTGACATCACCTCTGTGGTCCTCTGTGATTTACAGCTGGGCCCACCTGCTACCAGGCCTTCTTTCATCCTCCCCTTTACTTCCTTTGCCCTCGCTTTGGCCCTTCTGAGCTTCTGCTCTGAGAGCCAGGTAGTGGTCACAGCGTTACTGATAAACCACAGAGAAGCCGCAGAAGGTTCTGATGGTGCCTGCTTGCATAGTTCTTCTAACTGCCCCCTTGTATGGAATCGCAAAACATTTTGAGCACCTCAGAAGGAAGGCACTATGTAAACATAAGGTATTTTTTACTCATTTGTTTATTTGCGTTTATTATTAACAATTAAAAATATTAAGAGCATTAGAGAAATAGTTTGGTTATTTCTTCAGATTTGAGACCTGTGTTTTAGGCCAGTTGCTTTTCATGTTATCAAATATCCTAACAATGTATTTTTTTAATCAAAAATAACTTAAATCTTAGGGTTTTGCACATGTGGCATTTAATTGTAATGAATAGTCTTTTTTTTTTTTTTTAACTTTCTGTTTGGAAATAGAGTTGCTACAAAGTCTGGTGATACAGTGTCCAGAAATAGAACTCTTTTCAGATAAAATTCTTTTGCTGAGTAAACAGGGCAATCTTTGATCCACATACAGAGGAAATACATTTTCTTAGCCAAGAGACAACAGGTATTCCATATTGCTGGTTTTATTAAGGGAAAATAATTATCAATTCTGAAACTAAAGACTAAATCTAATTGGTACTAGGATATTCAGTTTTACTATGGATTAACACTTGGGAATCCTCTTTTCTATTCACAGTGCCATTGCTTTCTTCAACTCCTGCACAATAGGTATGCACAGTGGGCAAACTTGCTGCTAAATATTGAAGAAGCACTCTTTGTAGTCTGTTAAAAGTTTAATTTTTGTGGAATCATTTTAGATTGATATTTGGAGTAGGATTCTCAGGTTTATGACTTCTGGATTTAATTATTTTGAGAAAAAATGCACTTGGAAAGCTATCTATGCATTCTAAAATGCCCTTGAAATTTTGAAATTGAAGTCAAAAAAGAGACTTGAGTGGAATGGTATAATTGTCATATTGTTTTAGATTTAAATCATAATGTGTTTTATAAAGAATCTAAATATATGTTTACATACAAAATCGTGGCCATTTAGATAAAGGTGTTGATGTCATATTGTTTTAGATTTAAATCATAATGTGTTTTATAAAGAATCTAAATATATGTTTACATACAAAATCGTGGCCATTTAGATAAAGGTGTTGATGTCATATTGTTTTAGATTTAAATCATAATGTTTTATAAAGAATCTAAATATATGTTTACATACAAAATCGTGGCCATTTGGATAAAGAAATTATAGCAAGGATAATTTCATAAGACTATCTAATAGCTACATCCTTAAAAAAAAAACTTTCTGTGATGTACTTAGAAGCTATTTTTATTTCTACCAGTTTATGTAGAATGAACATAAGGAAAGTAAGGTGGTCATTTCACTCACCGAAGGTCAGATTGCAGAAGTGCACCCTGCAGTGCTGCTGTTTAGGCTGAGGAAGTTACGCAAGGGGAAAATCAGGTCTAAAGTTTGCCTCAAGTGTTCAGAGCACCATAAAGAGAAGACTGGCACTAAACAAATTGAAGTTTTGTTTCTTGATTTAAGAGGTGGCATTGTAAGGCTGTATAATCACTATATTACAATATTGGCCTGTTCTTTCCTGGAGAATGTCCAGAGTCACTTTGGCAGGTGTGACTTGGGAGGATTTAGTATTATCTTCTTCCTCTTCTCTTCTCTGATTCCTTGGTGTTCTCTCCTTTTTTCACAGTCCGTGTTTCAGTTTACTTATTTTATGTCAGTCATTGTAGGGTAGTCTCTAGTTCCACAGTCAATGTCGCATTTTTGGTGTGTCTGAGCTGCCTAATATGCCTTCTCCTTGCTGCTTGTCAGTCTTGCATCTACTAGCTCTCTCAGCCTCTGAATTAGATGCTCTCCCTGGAATGAGATTTTCTAATTGCTTAAGCTCTTAAGTTTTCCAAATAGCTGGAACTGCTTGAGATGAACAAGATATCACCTAGTGCACCTAGAGTTCTATTGACACAAGAACAAAATTGCAATAATTTCCAAAACTTGCTTAGCAAATGCCTTGAGCAAATTGGACTATGACAGTACTTTGAGGTAAATGCCCCCTTTCCTTTGTCTGGTTCTCTGACAAGTGACTCCTTACAGGGCTAGCTAATGAATTTGGTTGGCATTTCTTTTGTTCTTTGCTGGGCATTCACCAACACTAAACATTACCATTGCTTCCTCTGCTTTTGTAACATACTAGCAGGAAGGAGGGAAGGAAGGGGGTGGGGGGCATTGTGAATACCCAATAAAGCAGGTTTTGAAAATGCAAAAACGGGGCCCCTTGTGTTAACTTCCACTTATACACCTTTATCCTAATCACTAACAAGATATGTTTCTACATTCATAGAATATCTAGAGTTTGTGTATGTTTGTGTATGTGTGTTGTCTTTGGGAAATGTTCACAAGCACCTGCTTGGGGTGTGAATGTAATTTCTATTCTTCTATTTTCTGATTTCTAAACTTCAGGAGAAGGTAAAGCTTGATGCTGAAAGGGAAAAACTAGAGAGGCTTCAGGAGCTTTACTCCGAGCAGAAGACCCAGCTGGACAATTGTCCTGAGTCCATGAGGGAACAGTTACAACAACAGCTGAAGAGGGTCAGTAGCACACAGGAATGCACCAGTTGTCTTTCTTTTTTCTTTTTGTTTTTTAATTAAGTTCCACTTACCTATGACTTACTACTTCACACAGCATAAATTTGCATAAGTTCTATTTAATAGATACTTTTAAAATAGAAATATGCATGCTAACAGTATATATTATTTCATGATCATCAGTTAAAAAATTCCTTGTTAGAATTCTTCACCTATTTTATAATGCAAAAACATTTCTGGAGTCCTTTTTTGTAAAAAGAGAGAGCTATTCCTGACTTGTAACCAACACCAAGACTGTAGCATTTAAATCGACTGACATCTTCCCCTGCATTCTCTGCGGCATCGTGAGTACTGTTTGCCCTTGAATGTTTTTTTTTCTTCCTTAGCTTGATTTTATACTCTTGTCCCAAACTTATCTTATTCTCTGATTTGCTCTCCATCACCATCCATTGTTTTGTTTTTCTTTTTCTTTCTGCTGCTTAGTGACATTGAACTCATTAGCATGATTACAACAATCG